CTGACGGCGACGCTGCTGGTGCTGCTAGTCGGTGCTGCCCCACCCCCGGACAACAACCCATTTGATATCTGTTTGAATGAGACATTGAAACAAACTCTAAGTAAGTTACCGACACTAATACATCTGTAGCAACTCTTCAACTTACGAAGGCTCAACATTAAGCAAGTTTATATTTAGCTACTACAAATTTAACATACATTTTTTACAATGTTTTCAAATATGTAAAATAATACATTATGTAGAATTAACATAGGATACCAAACTAAAGTCAGACATTGGCTTCCCAACCTTCTGATTTGTGAGTCAAAATAAGAAGCGCAACTTTTAGGCAATTTTGGAAATTTTGTAATTGTGCTGGAGTGTAGAGTACAGGTGCCATGATAGTGTACTTATTTATGTAAAGTTATGGAAGAGATTAGCTCAACTTGATGGCGAATTTATTGAGTGTTGCTGGCTAGTGTGTAGTACACGGGTAAGAAATGTTAGAATGAAGCTAACTAGCGTCAGCCAAATGTTTAACTATATCATGTGCAAAGGTCAGCAGTGTTCTCTCATTTTCATGATAGATTCTCCGGTTGTGATCCATGAGAGCTTCTCTTAGTTGTGATCCTTCAGAGCTTCTCTTTGTTGTGATCCTTCAGAGCTTCTCTTTGTTGTGATCCTTGAGAGCTTTCCTCCCTCTAGCTCAAACCTTTAATTCTCTCACTGAAGCCTAAACAAAAATTTCTCTTATTCTTGTGTCCAGTTCTTTAACTTTCTCACAGTGATCTCACAGTTCTCAGTATCACCAATTCTCTTCCTCAGGAAATAAACTGTGCACCAGCGTAGAGATACCAGAGGAAGACTGCGAGAGCAAAACAGAGGAAATACAGCAGTGCAATAGAAGATTGTACAATGGCAGTGACAACGAAGCTACGAAGAATACCATCGAAGCCTTAGCAGAATGCATGACGTCTATCGCCAGCATCAACATTACTCCTGCAGACCAAGGTGCGCATAACGTATCACTATTCTTAAGAACATAAGAACATAAGAAAGAAGGATCACTGCAACAGGCCTACTGACCCATGCAGAGCAGGTCCATGTCCCCCCCCCGGATTAGACCAATGACCCACCCCCCGGATTATCCCAATGACCCACCCAGTCTGGTCATCTCCACTCAAGGATGGAGCACTGCACCAGACCCAGCAGCACAAGCTAGTCAGGTCCAACTCACACCCACCCACACCCACTCATGTATTTATCTAACCTATTTTTAAAACTACACAACGTTTTGGCCTGAATAACTGTACTCGGGAGTTTGTTCCACTCATCCACAACTCTATTACCAAACCAGTGCTTTCCTATATCCTTCATGAATCTGAATTTTTCCAACTTGAAACCATTGCTGCGAGTCTTGTCTTGGCTGGAAATTTTCAGCACGCTATTTACATCCCCTTTATTTATTCCTGTTTTCCATTTATACACCTCGATCATATCCCCCTAATTCTACGCCTTTCGAGAGAGTGCAGATTCAGGGCCCTCAGTCTATCCTCATAGGGAAGATTTCTGATACATGGGATCATCTTTGTCATCCTCCTCTGTACGTTTTCCAGAGCATTTATGTCCATTCTGTAATACGGTGACCAGAACTGAGCGCATAGTCTAAATGAGGCCTAACCAACGATATATAGAGTTGAAGAACAACCTGAGGACTTCTATTATTTATACTTCTAGATATGAAGCCAAGAATTCTGTTAGCTTTATTGCGAACACTAATGCACTGTTGTCTTGGTTTTAGGTTACTGCTAACCAGAACTCCTAAATCCTTTTCGCAATCAGTAGCATTAAGATCTACATTATTTAGTTTATATGTGGCATGGTTATTTAACTGTCCAACAGTTAGAACTTTGCATTTGTCAATATTAAACTGCATCTGCCACGTCTCCGACCATTGCATCAGTCTATTCAAATCATGCTGGAGTGCTCTAATGTCCTCATTAGAATGAATTGGACGGCCTATTTTGGTGTCATCAGCAAATTTGCTTATGTCGCTATTTACTCCTTCATCTATGTCGTTTATGTAAATTGTGAACAACAACGGGCCCAACACTGACCCCTGAGGAACACCGCTTGTGACGTGCCCCCATTCTGATTTCTCCCGATTTATGCAAACTCTCTGCTGTCTATTTGTCAGCCATGCCTCTACCCAGGTAAAAAATTCTCCTATTCCGTGTGTCCTAAGTTTCCTCAATAGCCTCTGGTGTGGAACTCTATCGAAAGCCTTACTGAAGTCCATATACACAATATCATATTTATTACCATGATCTACCTCCTCAAACACCTTAGTGAAAAAAGTTAGTAAATTCGTAAGACAGGAACGCCCCTTTGTAGAACTGTGTTGAGATTCATTAATCAATCTGTGCCTGTCAAGATGGCTACGAATTGCTTCGGCAATTATTGATTCCATAAATTTTACCACTATGGAGGTAAGGCTTATTGGTCTATAGTTCGAAGCCAAGGACCTGTCACCTGCCTTGTAAATAGGTATTACATTTGCCATTTTCCACTTATCAGGCACTATGCCAGTTTGTAGTGATATGTTAAAAAGATTAGCCAAAGGTATGCTAAGTTCCTCTTTACATTCCTTTAACACCCTTGCAAACAGTTCATCAGGACCTGGGGATTTGTTAGGTTTTAGTTTCTATATTTGTCCAAGAACCATGTCACTAGTTACCGCAATCGTACATAGTTTATTATCATCCTGTTCTACATAATCTATTATTTCAGGAATATCGCTAGTATTTTCCTGGGTGAAAACTAAGAGGAAGTAGGTATTTAGAATTTCACACATATCCTTATCACTGTCAGTGATCTGACCAGAGTTACTCTTAAGTGGGCCAATCTTGTCCCTAATCTTACTTCTGTATACTGAAAGAACCCTTTTGGGTTAGTCTTTGAATCCCTTGCGACCTTAGCCTCATAATCTCTTTTTGTTTTTCTTATTCCTGTCTTTATTTCTCTCTTTAATTAAATATATTGATTTCTTAACTGCCCATCCCCCGTTTTGATACGCCCTTCATTAAGCGGGATAAAGCAGAAAAAATCACTATTCCTGTTATTAGTCGTAACAAAGCCTGAAATTTTCACTATCATTCATGTTATTAGGAATATTTCATTATCGTTGGTGTCATTAGTCGTATCAAAACAGGAAAATTTCACTGTCATTCGTGTCATTAGAGAAATTTCACTATTCTTCATGTCCTTAGTCGTAATAAAGTAGAAAAGTTTCACCATCACTTATGTCGTTAGACATCAGCAAGTAATAAAGTTTCATTATCTCTTGTACGATAAGTTTTATTAGTAAATACTTTACGAATATTGAATCGTAGTGAGTGTCGAGTAGCTCAAATTAAAAATATATAACACATGAAGCAGTGTAGCTTTTATTACACGACGTTTCGCCCAAAATAGGCCCTTTTTCACAACATTTAGCCCTAAAGAATTCTCTTTAGGACAACATTTCGCCCTAAATTGTGCTTTATTAAACGAGATTTCGTCGTAAAGAGGATTTCATTAATCCTAAATTTCATAAAATATATACAGGGCGAAACGGCGTCTAACAGAAATTTTCGCCCTGATACCTGAGCTTTACGAGATCAAATATCATTTTTTATAGTAACCTCAATAACTTCTTTTTTCTGGCAGCTGACCTCAAGACCTACATGACGTTTCTGAGCCAAATTATTCCTGCCAATAAAGACACCGTGTGTAGCAAGATAGAAGCTCTGGCGGATTGCTTCAAGACCAAGTCGAATATGGTGAGTCTACTTTGTTTACTGTAGTCTATTGCAGTCTACTATAGTTCATTAGCTGTTACACTGTGGCCTGCCACTGTGTGTGTGTGTGTGTGTGTGTGTGTGTGTGTGTGAAGACAACGCTGTGGCTTCACTACCCAGCCATACATGAAGCAAATTTTCACAACTCGCAGCTTCCTGGGAGTAAAAGCCGAGAAAGTGGCAGAAATTCAAGGTCAAGTATATGACTTTGTTTACATGTTTTTCCGAGAATTAGTAGACAGAATAATGGGCAAAGAATATTAGAGAATGAAAGAGTGATTTATATTCTAGGTTTTATAATGAGTGTTATCTGCCTCCTTTGTGCCTCGTATCATAAGCCTTTACTTTGTGGATTATAGAGGATTTAATATCTTTCCCACGACTTCTATAACAGGACACAGAATACGTGACAATATTCTCCTTTTATTTTCAGTACCAGCATATCAAGGACTGCCTCGACCAGAATGAATAACCCAACTGAAGTGTCAGAACACCTGAAGAGCGCTGTCTGCAACTCGCTGAAGCACTTGCAAGAATTCCCTCATGCCCTTTCTCCATTAGCTGTTTTTCTTTGCTATTTCTGCTAAAATCTACCTGAGGAGAACTTGAAGACATTCTCTTAGACACGTTGTGTTTCTCACTCTGGTGACGGACACAGATTCAGGTGTCTTCTACACCCACAGTTGTTTATTAAAAAAAATATGCACACTTATGTATTATGTTTCTTTTCCTGCACATTAAATGATTTAGCAAAGTTGCGTTTATCTTCCAATCTTCAATTTTATTCTATAATTCTAATGACTAATTGTGTAGATAAACAATGACTGGGCGATCAGGAGTGATGAATCTACATGTTTTGCAGTGGCTGTGCTCTTGGCACAATGATCGGGAGTCCAAGTAATGGTAAACCCGGAATCAAGAAGTTTGGTCGTGGTTGCGGTGTTAAGTAGGAGTATCTGTCAAGGAGTTTGAAGACAGAATTTTTAAAACATTAATTTGTGGTGCTTTTGTAATCTGGAATAATACATCTCTAGGGGAGATATTGCCATGATCAGGTTTAGAGTATTTAAGGTGTCTCACATATCATTACTCAGTTGTCTACGAAGATTACAACGCTCCTGAAGAGAACAGACATCATTCACCATCACCTTTTTCACGATGCTTGCCCATAGTGTAAAGATCAAGCCTACCAGTGGTGTTATCAACGACTCCGCCAAACTTGTCCTTGCTGCCGCTGTAAAGACCTGCCTGCAGGTTTAAGTTACAGCTATCCACTCGCTGAAAGACTCCTTTATTGTCGTCTGTACTGACGATCACGAAGCTTGAAAATTGATAGACGACACGTCTATGAAAAATCTCAGAGACCGACAGTTCACCGTCTCTCCTTCACCTTTCCTGTTGGCGAAACGTTCAGTTTTCGTCAAACGGCTGGACAAGCTCATCACTTCCCTATCAACTGTAGACCTTGAGACCTTCATGCTGGACCTGCTATTCGTACCATCACTCGACGCCTGACTGTCCCCTGAAAGGAAAGAAGTATTGTACCATCTGTGGAAAGGACGGCCATAACTCCACAGAATGTATCACCATTACCACCTGCCTCACTGCATCATACGCTTGCAGTAAAATGTCCTCTACGAAAATCAGTACTCTCCCAGAAAATAAAAAATATTGTGAAGAACAGCCAGAAATCACCGACGCCATTTCCATTTCCTGACTCCACCATCACCTGACATCCAAATTCTTCCAAATATCAACTTTACTACTCCTCCCGACCTGTCTGCTCAAGCAGCTGTCCCCGCATCTGCCACAACCTCCCACACCACCTTCAGGAGTCATGTGGCAAGCAGTTACGTTACGAAATACACATACATATTAAGTGCATCGCTGCCGCGGCAGCGGCAGCAACAGCAACGACCTCCAAGCTCCGTACTTTTCTCCAACAACCAATACTCCTATGATGACCTAGTTGCAAGCAAAACTGCACCATCCAACGTAGCACCCAGAATGATCAAAGATTACCAACAGTGAAGCCTACAAATCGAAAATCATAGAGATCAAAGGAAGACTGCCCTCAAACCCAAGGCAACAAACACCCCGCTAAAAAAAACCATACCACGGACGGGATTTGAACCCGCGGTCAGAGAGTCTCAAAACTCCAGACCGTCCAACACCCCGCTGCCAGCCGAATAACGTGACCCTAAGCTTTGTATAACTACAACTACTTCTTAACTACAACAATTCCTGTAGTATTATGAGGCGTAATCTCAGAGGAAACAGCACCAAGGTCAGCAAGAAAACACCGAAAAATCGACTATTCAACAAGTATACCCAGGACGACGCCGGCCCAGCTACCACCCTTCTCACCACCGCCCAGGACGACGCCGGCTCAGCTACCACCCCTCTCACCACTGCCCAGGACGACGCCGGCTCAGCTACCACCCCTCTCACCACCGCCCAGGACGACGCCGGCTCAGCTACCACCCCTCTCACCACCGCCCAGGACGATGCCGGCTCAGCTACCACCTCCCAGGACGACACCACAACAATAACACCAAACATGGCTGCCTCCACCTCTACCACCTCTCTCTTCCCCGGATTCAACCTACCAAGTAGTCTCTCAGGTATGACCAGCGATCCAGATACCCTCAAGTCATGCATCTCCACCTTAGTTATTGAAAATATGAGTCTTCGAGAGACGCTAACAAAACAAGACACCAGGATGACACAACTCGAGAACAAAATCCTTAGTCTTGAACAAAAGTTATCAACACCAGGAATGACTAACTATGGGAAAACCATCCAAACAGTCATAGGTAGCCATGAAGAACAAATAATATCTCTTAATACAAAGGTTGAAGAAGCAGTAAAAGAATGGAAGAACAACTTGGATAACCAGTTCAGTGACTACTTTGCTCTCCAAGATGATAAAACTGAGCAAGAAAAACTATCGGACGCAGTAATAGTAACAGTCCACTTTTTCCCAGTGATATGAACCAAACAAACAGTAAAGAAATTACTCTCCAGACTATTTTGCTGCAATAGCTACCCACCTTCGCACCCGTTGGCAACAACGTTGGTCAACTCTGCTCGGTAACAAACTTCATTCTATTAAACCGAGCATAGGTTACTGGCCGTCTTCTTGTCATCAGTGCCGAGGTTGGGAGACCACTCTCTCCCGCCTTCGCATTGGTCACACTCGTCTTACTCATGGGTATCTCATGGAGAGGCACCCTGTTCCTCTCTGTGAGCAGTGTCAAGTTCCAGTATCGATTAGCCACATTCTGTTAGACTGCCCTCTCTATCAACGAGCACGCAGAATTTACCTCCAACGTCGTCTTCGTTCTACTACTCTCTCTTTACCTTCCCTTCTTGCTGATGGACCCTCCTTTAATCCTGACTCTCTCATTGACTTCTTGACAACGACTGATTTACTCCACAAACTCTGATGATACTTTTCACACTCCCCTCAGCCCTTTCTAGTTCAGTCTCTTGCTGCCCTTTACCCTTTCACCATCCACTGTCCCGCTGTTATCCGTAACCTATTACTCATCCATCTCCCTTTTGCCACCTGATGCCCTCGCTTCCTTCCTGCCCTGCAGCGCTGTATAGTCCTTGTGGCTTAGCGCTTCTTTTTGATTATAATAATAATAATCCAGATCATAAAGGACCAAACAAAATTTACAGTACCAGTGTCAGAAATAAAGGAAGCCAGGTTACTAGGATCCCATGGTAGAAAAGTGTTATGCTGAGATTCCACTCACATACATAAACGAGTGTCTCGCCAAAAACGTCAGAACCTCCTGTATAGAGTCAGAAAACTTAAGCGGGAGAATAATGACACAATACACCAATGCTTTACACGGGATGGGAAAATTCTAGTTAGGAAAACAAATGTAGGTCAACTGTACACAATCACGAACGAGAATGATCTATCACGATTTTTCAGGGATACTAATCTTACAGAGAATAACTAAACAATGTCCAACCTAAAAGCCTACGTAGTGTAGTGAATGTTTTACTCCATTATTGTACAAATTTCACAGTACAATCTCTTAGCAATCAAAAATCAACTACCTCAGTAATGTGATTTTACTAGTAAGCATAAGTCACCTTATGTTATATAATTTTCTTAATTAATATTGTTTGCTTAAATATTTGCTTAATTAATACTTTCTCTGTCCATATTACAGCCTCATATTTCTTTAAATAATATTAATTGCTATTACTTACCAAACTTATTATCAAATACCATTTTTTACTATCAGTACAATTTACTCTTAACATTTTTGACATTTTAGTTACCATTACTTGTTTAATTACCATAACCTGTTTTAATACCACATTTACTATCTTAGGGTAGTTCCTTACTCTTAAATACCTTGTACTGCCAATTAAGTTCTAGTATAACTACCAGTTCAATAATTAATACAAATAACTCTTCTTAAAATTTAGTACTTGAAATAAATATTTCTTTTTTTCATTTTGTTTTTATTAATTAATATTTCTTGTAATCATTATTACTTACTAAAATTTTATTAAACACCATATTTACTACCAGTCAATTTTACTTATGTACAGTAATCATTATTTTATACTTTTCTTAACCTTTTGTTGCCAAATTTTCAAATTTGTATATTGACCTCCAACCTTTATATTATCCTTTGTACCTGTGTACCTGTGTACCTGTGTACCTGTGTACCTGCCTACCATCTTACTATCATATTATAACCAAGTCATTGCCATTTTTATTTTTCTATTTTATTCTTTTGGTACATTAATTTGTGTATTTTATCTTGTCAATTTCAATCTAGTTATACTCTTGTTCTTGTTAACAACTTATATTAGACCTTAGTACAATTGCAAGTGAGAGTCTTGCACCTTTTAACTTGTATTCTTATATTATTAGTTTATACCTAGTTGTATTTTAGCTCATTCTAGCTCAATATATAGACAACACCAAATTCATTATATTAGACCTTAGTGCAATTATAAGAGTGAGTCTGGTGCTATTTGTAATTTGTATTTTTATAGTATTAGTTTATACCTAGTTGTACTTTAGCTCATTCTAGCACAACACATAGACAATATCAACTTCATTATGTTTATTAGTGACTATACTTTATATGACCAAAGTGTTTAGCTATATACTTGTCCAGACTTCCCACTACTATAGATATCAGTATTAGAACTCACCACATAAATACAAGGATATAAATAACCACTATTTAAACCTAAAAGATGAATGATCACGTTGACCCTGATCTAAACCTCCATAATCTAACACACAATCAAAACTTATTGGAAAGTAACTGCCTTTATTACACAGCATCACAAGCCAGCACTATCCTGAACACTGCTCAAAGTCTATCAGTTCTTAACTACAACATCAGGTCCTTAAGCAAACACTATGATGACCTCCTGGCACTCCTTGAGTCACTAAAGACACCCTTCTCCTGCATTATTCTTACTGAGACCTGGCTTAAGCAGGACACAATAGATATCTACCAAATATCAGGATACACAGCAATCCACAACTGCAGACCATACCAAGTTGGGGGTGGAATTGCAATCTATTACTCTAACCAACTATATTGTATTAGCACCACTTGCTTTAGTGATGAATATGGGGAATACATTTTTGCTAATTTTACTGTAAAAAACCTTAAGACGCCTATAACAATCGGTGCCATTTACCGGATACCCCACACAAACATCCCAAATTTCAGTGAGAATCTAAAG